CTCTTTTCCTGCGCTTGCCGACCCGGAGTCGGACTCTCTTCGTGCTGCCAGTCCTACTGTCACGCGGCTCCTTGCTACTCTCGTCACTGACCCCTCGTTTGAGTCCACTGCTGCGTCTCCGCTTGGTGCTGAGCTCGTCGACTTTGCTGCTCGCTGTCATCTAGACTACGCTGCCAGTCTTGTTGCTGAGTCTGCGTCTGTCTGTCCTCCGTCCGTCGGGGGTGAGTGTGCTATTGGCACGGAAGTCCTTGAGGACAGGCAGGAGGAGTTCCAGTGTCTGGCTGCTGCTTCACCTCATCTCCCATCTGTACTGCTTGCCCCTAAGGGAGACCCGGATGCACTATACATCCCGACTCCGCGGTCTTACGCGGAGGCCATAGAGGGTCCCTACTCCTCTCAGTGGCAGGCAGCTATGGATGTAGAGATGGCTTCCTGGAAGTCCACAGGCACCTACGTTGACGCGGTTCCCCCTCCTGGGGCGAACATCGTCAGTGGCATGTGGATCTTCAGGGTGAAGCGGCCGCCAGGCTCTCCACCTGTCTTCAAGGCGCGGTACGTCGCTCGTGGCTTCAGTCAGCGGTAGGGAGTTGACTACTTTCAGACCTTCTCTCCCACCTTGAAGATGACCACTCTTTGGATGCTGCTACACATAGCAGCTCAGAGCGACTACGAGCTTCACTCTCTTGACTTGAGCACTGCGTTCTTGCAGGGTAGCCTGCACGAGGAGATCTGGCTGCGCCGTCCACCTGGATTATCTGGGACTTTCCCTCCTGGCACCCAGTGGAGCCTCCGGCGGGCAGTCTACGGTCTTCGCCAGGCACCGCGTGAGTGGCACGACACACTGGGGACTACGCTTGGGTTTGCTCCCTATACTGCTGACCCGTCGCTGTTTCTACGCACCGACACTTCTCTGCCGCCGTTCTACATCCTCGTGTACGTCGACGACTTGGTCTTTGCCACAGCGGACACTGCTGGACTCGCCTACGTGAAGTCCGAGCTGCTGAAGAGACACACGTGCACAGACCTGGGTGAACTGCGCAGCTACCTTGGCTTGCAGATCACTCGGGACAGAGCACGCCGCACCATTACCTTGACTCGGTCACACATGGTGCAGCAGGTCCTTCAGCGCTTCGGCTTCACGTACTCCTCGCCACAGGCCACTCCTCTGGCTACTAGCCATTCCCTCTCAGCTCTGCCTTCGGATGAGTCCGTAGAGTCGAGTGGCCCGTACCCAGAGCTTGTTGGCTGCCTCATGTACTTGATGACCTGCACACGACCTGACCTTGCATACCCTCTGAGCATTCTTGCACGCTATGTTGCTCCTAGGAGACACCGACCAGAGCACATGGCTCCAGCAAAGAGGGTGTTGCGCTACTTGTGCAGTACGTCGGGCATGGGGCTAGTGCTTGGAGGGCGGAGTCCAGTGGTCCTCACTGGCCACGCGGACGCTTCTTGGGCTGACGACCAGGCTACGCAGCGGTCGTTGCAGGGGTACACCTTCAGTCTTGGTTCTGGCTCTGTCTTGTGGCGGGCTACTTGCTCGTCTTCTGTTCTCGGCTCCAGTTGTGAGGCTGAGATCTACGCCGGGGCCATGGCTGCACAGGAGCTTTTCTGGCTCACCTACCTGCTGACTAACCTTGGAGAGCCGCCTCGTTCTCCTCCAGTGCTGTACGTAGACAACAAGGCCATGCTGGCCTTGTGTCGAGAGCAACACTTGGAGCACAAAACGAAGCACATTGCTCTCTGCTAGTTCCTTGCTCGTGAGCTGCAGCAGCGTGGTCAGTTGCGACTTGCGTACGTGGCCTCTGAGGCCAACACTGCTGATGTTCTTACCAAGGCACTTCCGCCTTGTGATCATCAGCGCTTCTGCACTCAGCTGGGACTTGTTCTTGTCTTACCTCACTTACTCACCTCTTGACCTTGCTTGTACTCTTGCATATATATATACCTGTTCTTGCCTGTTTAGCCTTATATATATCTGTGTCTCCTCTTGCATGTGAACTGGCCTTGTGGCCTTGACCTTGTGCTCGGACTGTGTGGTGACTTTGTGATCCACCCTGAGCTTTGCTTTGCTTTGCTTGACAGGTCTTGTGACCCCTTGTTCTCCCCCACTTTGCCTATGGGGGTGTGTCAGAACATTATAGCTTATGGTGTTGTGTAGGCTATAGTGGGGTATCCCATACGGGGTACAACCCAATTAGGGTTGGTACTTGTACTCACTCATTTCATAGTTCATTCATTCGTGTTCTTTCGTTTCACAAATAAGGGAAAAGAGGAGAAAATGGGAAGGAAAGGGAGAAGTGGGAGAAAAAGAAGGGAACAGGGGAGCATCATATAGAGAGAAGCGAGATGAGTTTGAAACAGTGAGGGAAATGAGGAAAAGGGGGGGAAGGGAGTAGCGGCTGAATGGTGGCTCTAAGTTAAGCACCAATGGCCCTTTGGCTTCTCAGTGCTCCATGGTCAAAACTGAATCATAGAGTAGCATTGGATGCATTTCTCCTAGAGATACTAGCTACCTACCTGTATGCGCAGAAGCCTGCTGGAGGTGACGGAATCCTTTGGCTGATACACCTCAACGAGGTGCTTCTGGGCTTTTAAGGCTGGAGCGGCACTCTCTTTGTAAGAGCGAATGCGGAGTTGCTCCGCATGCGTCATGTTGCACAGTTCTACACTGTACGCCATAAGGGACTCGCTGTAATATTGAGCATGGGCGTCGTCGGTGTCTTCCACCCGTTTAGAATAGGAGCCGTCGAATTAGTGGTAGATCTCCGCTGTTTGTAGGAGGAGCTCAAGGTCAAAACTCTATGTATACAAATATTTGCCGTCAAACGCGGCGGCAGTCTTATTTTTTTAAACGCTGAGAAAGCGTGCTTGCGCAGAATTGATGACTTCATCACTTGGATGTCGGGGGCATTGTTTTTGATTTGTCTATGTTGGGGGAGAAGATGTGCGGGGCGGTATTGTGGCTTTTTGTAGCCGGTTGACTAGGTTGTGCTAGTTGGGAAGAGGCTCCCGCGTCGCCATTCCGCAATGCTTGGAGGTCTTTCTCCATAGTTGATCGTTGCGAAAATAACTACTCGAGTGCGGCAGTGCTGATTGTAGTTGTCGCCTTATTTATCGCAATCGGATTGGTTTGTCCTTTAGCCGTCATATTTGTTTGGCCTCCGGATCCTCCGGCCATCTTGGTCTTGGAGCGTGTGCCGCTCGCCAGATCTTGGTTTGGCGAATTTTACGGAAGTGAAGTTGCGAAGAAACCATGAGTAGCTCTCATACCATGTTATGATCCCAAGTGGGTCTTAGCCAGGGATCGGCTCAGGGTTGATCGCAGGTTGTTACGGGGTACTTTACCATTCAAGGGCTAATTACCCTAAATAGTGGTCCCAACCTTATCTTCTACCAATCTCTTCCAGATTTCCACGATTCTCATCCACCACGTGGCACTCTAGTCTTCTTGCTTTACCATTCCTTGTCCCACGAACTACTTTCCAACTTCCGCTCTTGCATGCTATATAAACCTTGCTTGTACTTGCTATTATAAACCAAAAATCTCATTCAACAATTACTAAGTTACTTCTTCGCCTATTTTGCCAATAGTTATTTCGCCAAAGTCTTCCGTGTCAGAACATTATAGCTTATACATTTGTGTAGGCTGTAGTGGGGTAGCCCATAAGGGGTACAACCCAATTAGGGTTAGTACTTGTACCCAACTCTTTCATAGTCCAATCATCCATTCTCACTTTTCGTCATGGTATTAGAGCAGGTTCCCGAGTGGGAATATTGTCTAGGGCCCACCACGAATTTTTCTTCCCTGCCTGGAGCGCGCTTCACTCCTACCCGAGTCGCGTTTCGTGTGCCCTACCTACCCTCGAGCCACCCTTAGTGGCCCCTTTGGCCGCCCTTACGGCACCTCGCGCCGCCCTCTAAGGCCCCTCGCGCTGCCCTTACGGCCCCTTACGGCCCCGTCTAGCCCCCCTACGGCCCCGTCTCGGCCCCTCTGCGCCCCCGCCGCCACCTGCGACCCCGCCGCCACCTACGGCCCCACCACCACCACCAGCGGCCCCGTCGTCGCCACTTGCAGCCCCACCACCACCCGCGGCCCCGTCGCCCTACCCTAGCGGCCCCGTCGCCCTAACCTAGAGGCCCCATAATCGCCACCAGTGACCGAGCCGCCGAGCAGCACAGGATCCAAGCCGCCCGCATACCGAGCAGCCGAGCCACCCAGCATCCAAGCCGCCCCGCAGCCGAGCCGCCCAGCAGCCGAGCCGCCCTACTGTCTAGCAGCTGCTGTACCTACCGGTGCTCCCCGGCCCCTCATTCCTTGGACTGGTGAGCTCACTTCCTCCTAGGCCACTGCAGTCATGACTACCCCCAGTATCCTTACTTTTGATGCTGAGGGTCGTGCCGTTGACTTTGAGGTCTGGGTCGATGACCTCCAGCTGTTTCTTTAGTGCGATAGGGCAAACGGCCTCTCCCTATTTGACCTCACTTCTGGTGCCTCTCTTGCCCCTGCTGCTGATGCTGATGCCACTGTTCGCTCACAATGGGCCACGCGCGATGCTGCTGCTCGCCTTGCTGTGCGCCGCCACTTACCGACCACTGAGCGTGCACATTTTAGCCAGTACAAGAGTGCTCAGACCTTGTACGACGCTGTAGTTGCACGCTACTCTTCCCCTGCCACCGCTGCACTGAGCCGCCTCATGCTACCGTACCTCTTCCCTGACCATGCTGCCTTTCCCACAGTTGCTGACCTCATTACGCACCTCCGCACTAGTGACACTCGCTACCGCGCTGCGCTTCCTGCTGAGTTCTGCGCCAAGAACCCCCCCCCCCCCCCCCCCCCATGTACATCACCCTCTACTACTTAGTCACCCGGCTCCCTGACTCTCTCCGCCTAGTCGGGGACCACTTCCTCTTAGTTTTCCCCACCACTCTTACCATTGACCTCCTCGAGAATGCCCTCCTAGCGATAGAGAAGAGCATAGTCGCTGTAGGAGCCTCTCATGGTGACCCTCATAACCCCTTCTTTGAGGGGTGTTCTCCCTCCCCCCTCTTGCCCTCTATTGCCTCTGCTGCTACGGCCGACCTTGTTGGTCTCGAGTCGGCCGGCGCTGCGTCTGCCCCGAGCGGGAGACGCTGCTCTGGCAAGGGCAAGGGGGGCAAGGGCGCTGGAGGGGCTGGAAGAGGCGGGGCAGGTGGGGGTGGAGGCAGTGAAGGGAGTGGGGGTGGTGGTGGGAGTGGTGGCGGGGGTGGCGGCGGCGGCAGCAGTGGAGGAGGCAGAGGCGGTGGAGGTGGCGGAGAGAGCAGAGGCAGCGGAGGTGGCGGAGGAGGCGGAGGTGGAGGAGGCGGCGGAGGCGGCGGTGGCAGCGGCGGTGGTGGAACGGTTTGCGACTCTATGCAGAGGAGTGGCTCAGGTGGTGGTCCGCGCGAGCAGTAGCAGAGTGGTGTGACCCTGTCCTCTCAGCACCTTTGTGAGTGGTACACTGCACGTCAGCGTGGTAGGGGGTTTGGACCCTGCGCTTACGTCCTCCGTACCGGCGACCGAGCTGGTGAGCAGTGCGGAGGCCCGCACTCCACCCAGGGCTGTCGCTTGACGGACGCGTGGCGTTACCAGCTCCCTGAGGCGTTAGAGATCCCTCGCTGGGGAGATCTGTCTAAGGCCGCAGTTGCGATCTTTGATCTTGACTATGATGCTATCCTTGCCGCCATGTATGCTGTTGATACTAGTGTTGCGGGTGACTGTTACCTGTGTGTACCGCCTGACCCGGACACTGCGGCCGCTGCTCTAGGTGCTGGTGAGGCTGCTACTCTAGGTGCTAGTGCGTCTGCTTCCCCAGGTGCCAGTGCTTCTGCTGCCCCAGGTGCAGGTGAGTCTGCTCTCTCAGGTACTACGCCGGCTCAGGCCTTCCACACCTTCATTCTTGACTCCGGTGCGTCACGCTCCTTCTTTCGAGACCGCACCACTCTTACGCGGCTCAGTCAGCCGGTTTCAGTCTCCCTGGCGGACCCTTCTGGGGGTCATGTCCTTGCTAGCTTCTCCACTGTCCTACCGTGCCTGGCAGCCCCCTCTAGCACCCTATATGGTCTCTACCTCCCCTCGTTCTCTACAAACTTGGTGAGTGGAGCGGACCTACAATATAGGGGGGTTGACCAGTTCACTCCTGCGAGTCAGCAAGTGACCCACTGCACGTGTGCTCGGCCGACACTTGGCCACATTCACCCGTCGGCTAGGGTTGAGCTTGTACGCCCTTACTACTGAGTCTCCTCCTGCTGCTGAGTCTGCCCAGGTAGCTGCGTCGAGTCAGGTGTTTGCTGCGGCGTCCAGGTCTGGTCCTGAGTCTGCTCCCTGCTCGTGTTGTCTGCTCTCCCACCAGACTCTTCGTTGGCACCACCGCCTTGGTCACCCCTCCTTGCCTCGTCTCTGAGGCATGGCCAGAGAAAACTGAAACGAGAATGAAATTGACTAAGTGAAAGTTGGGTACAAATACAAACCCTAGAAAGCTCTACCCCATATGTGCTACCCCACAATAGCCTACAATAGCCATGTCATATAAATCTGACACACCCCCATAGGCAAAGTGGGGGAGTACAAGGGGTCACAAGACCAGTCAAGCAAAGCAAGCTCAGGGTGGATCACAAAGTCACCACACAGTCCAAGCATAAGGTCAAGGCCACAAGGCCAGTTCACATGCAGGAGTACACACATATATATAAAAGGCTAGACAAGCAAGAGCAGGAGTAGAAATATATGTAACAGTACAAGCAAGGTCAAGAGGTGAGCAAGTGAGGCAAGACAGGCACAAGACCCAGTTGAGTACAGAAGCGCTGATAATCACAAGGCGCAAGTGCCTTGGTGAAGATATCAGCAGTGTTGGACTCAGGGGCCACGTACGCAAGACGCAGCTGACCACGCTCCTACAGCTCACGAGCAAGGAAGTAGCGAAGAGCAATGTGCTTCGTTCTGTGCTCTAGTCTCTGCTCTCGACACAAGGCCAGCATGGCCTTGTTGTCTACGTACAGCATTGGAGGAGAACGAGGCGGCTCTCGGAGGTCAGTCAGCAGGTAGGTGAGCCAGCGAAGCTCCTGAGCAGCCATGGCCCCGGCGTAGATCTCAGCCTAACAACTGGAGCCGAGAACAGAAGACGAGCGGATAGCCCGCCACGAAACAGAGCCGGAACCAAGGCTGAAGGTGTAGCCCTGTGACGAACGTTGCGTAGCCTGGTCATCAGCCCAAGAAGCGTCTGCGTGCCCAGTGAGGACCACTGGACTCTGCCCTCCAAGCACAAGCCCCATGCCCCACGTATTGCACAAGTAGCGCAATACCCTCTTTGTTGTGGCCATGTGCTCCGGTCTATGTCTCCCAGGAGCAACATAGCGTACGAGAATGCTAAGAGGGTATGCAAGGTCAGGTCGAGTGCAGGTCATCAGGTACATGAGGCAGCCAACAAGCTTTGGGTACGGGCCATTCAACTCTACTGACTCATCCGAAGGCAGAGCTGAGAGCGAGTGACGAGTAGGCAGAGGAGTGGCCTGAGGCAAGGAGTACGTGAAGCCGAAGCGCTGAAGGACCTGCTGCACCATGTGTGACTGAGTCAGGGTAATGGTGTGGCGTGCTCTGTCCCGGGTGATCTGCAAGCCAAGGTAGCTGGGCAGTTCACCGAGGTCTATGCACGTGTGTCTCTTCTGCAGCTTTTACTTCACATGGGTGAGTCCAGCAGTGTCAGCAGTGGCAAAGACCAAGTCGTCGACGTACACAAGGATGTAGAATGGCAGCAAAGAGGTGTTGATGCATAGAAACAACGAAGGGTCAACAGTAGAAGGAGAAAACCATGTTGGAACAGACCCTTGACCAGAGGGTTCATCCCGTCGGGCTGGATGCGTGCTACATGACCGGGACGGCTCAACGCGTCTGCTTTGTTGTATAGCCCGGGCTTGTAGACGATGTCGCAGTGGAAGTGAGTTTCCAGGAAGTCCGCCCACCGCATCGATCCTCGTGTGAGGTTCGGCTGCGATTTCAAGTATTTGAGACTACACTGGTCAATGTAGACTGTAGTCTTGGCTCCCTCTAGGTAACACCTCCACGCCTTGAAGGCTATGACTAAAGCTAAGACTTCCTTGTCATGGATGGGACTGTTCAGTTCTGCTCTGTGTAATTTCTTACTGAGGTAGGCAATGGGCTGCAAATCGCGTCCGTGATCCTGCATTAGTACTGCTCTGACTGCTTGGTCACTAGCCTCTGCTTCCACCACGTATTCCTTGTGTGGGTCTGGTAAGATGAGTACTGGTGTTTTAGTCAGTGCTGTCTGTAGCTGCTCGATGGCTTGCTGATGAGGAATATCCCATTTGTAGGGCGTATCCTTTTTCAGTAGGTTGGTTAGTGGTGCTGCTATATTAGCGTACTGTGGCACGAACCTGTTTTAGTAGTTGGCGAAGCCTAGGAACTGCTGCAACTCCTTCCCGTTCTCCGGTACATTCCACCTTTTTACGACTTCAATCTTCCGCGGGTCCACGTGTATGCCCTTGGCACTCTCCATGTGCCCGAAACTGCACCTTCTTTAGGGAAAAGTCGCTCTTCTACAGCTTCACGTAGAACTTGTTCTTCTGCAGGATCTCGAAGACTTTCCGGAGATGCTCCATGTGCTCCTTCATGTTCTTGGAGTAGATGAGAATGTCGTCCAAGTGCACCACCACGCATTCGTTCAATAGGGGCCGTAGGATATGATTCATCTCCGTCTGGAAGGTTGCTGGTGCATTGCTGAGCCCGAAAGGCATCATTAGATATTTGTAGGAGCCATATCTAGTACGGACCGCCGTCTTGTGGATCGAGTTGTGCGCCATCTTGATCTTCCTGAAACCCGACCGTAGGTCCAGCTTCAAAAAGACTGTTAGAAGATTGTCTATGCGTCGCATGGGACATTTGTTCTTGATTGTCTGTTTGTTCACTGCGTGGGAGTCGATGCACATCCGTAAAAAGCTATCTAGATTTGAAGTGAAGAGAACTGGTGCACCGTAGGGAGAGGTGGATGGGCAGATGAGTTGTCCGTCTAGTAGATACTCTATCTGCTTCTTCATGTTTGTCGGTTCGGTCGGACTCAATCTGTATGGTGCACGTGATACATGTTTCGCACCTGGTTCCTCCACGATCTCGTGCTCATGGGTGCGTGCTGAAGGTACTCCTGCTAGTAGGTCGTCGGGCATTATATCTTTGTACTGCTCCAAGACCTCCTTTACTGCTGTAGGTAGCTCCGAACTCATATTATCCTCCTATGCTGCTGCCATAACCAGTAGTAAGTAACCCGTGTTACTCTTGTTCACCGTCTATTTGAACCGTGCCATTTTTGCTTCAGGAACGTCCCTTGTATCCATCCAGCTTCGCAGCTCCACTCACTTCCTGTTGTTGTAGATGCACGCCTTCCTGTTGACCCATTTGATCTCGGGGTTGAGCCTCTTCAAGAAATCTTGCCCCAAGATGAAATCTAAACCTTTGATGTTCGTGATCAGCAACGTCGGCTTCCACCTCAGCGCCCCTATGTGCAGCTGCAGTGATGCTTCGCCGTGGATAGGAAGTTTTGCACCGTCCACCATCGTTGCCGTAAAATTGATCTCCTCTAAAGGTTCTCTAATTTTCTCCAACGTTCCGCGGTCACACACCGAGTGAGACGCATCGCTGTCCACTGGTGTCTGGAGGTGTCGTCTATTGCAGATCACCTCGAGTAGTAGTAGCTATTGCCGCTCCGAGTAATCGTAGATGGCCTCACTTATAGGATCATAGGGTACGTCGAATATATCTCCCCTAGGTCCTGCGGGCGAAGCTGCTGACTCAGTATCATTTTCCAACTGAGCTGGGTTAGAAGGATTTATCCTAGGCCGATTCAGCTTTGTATTGGCCTTGAACCTTCCCCTAAGCCTTTGCAGCTGTGTAGGCTTCACTTGTGGGCAATGGGGAGCCTTAACACTGTGCTGCAGGGAGAGAATATTAACTCCTCGGAACGCACGACCCTTTTAAACGCTCCGTAGTGGTTTGCCCAAATTCTCAGGTACCTGAATAATCTCTTAGGTTTTTTTTCTTACCCTCTAAATCTCCCCTGAATTTCTGAAAGGCTTGAAGATTACGAGAAGTAATATTTTTTAACAAATTCTTATTCTCGGGGGTGTTCGGCTGGAGTTTCCCGGTTGGTGTAGAATCTTGTTTCGCGGAGCCTCTACTTGTCTCGTCGATTTCCTCTGTTGCCGACTGGTTGTGACATTTTAATCTTGCGCCATCATGATCTCTTTTTTTTGCTCGCTCCGAATGTCTGAATGAACAAGAGTGATTGCACTAGGAAAGAGTTGAGTACAAGTCGGAAACCTTAAACTTATTGTACCCCATAGTAACTACCCCAGTACAGCCTAAACAAACAGTAGCAGATATACCATTTGACACACCCCCATAGGCAAACTGGGGGAGAGCAAGGGGTCACAAGACCAGTCAAGAAAGGCAAAGCAAGCTCAGGGTGGATCACAACGTCACCACACTCATAGAGCACAAGCAAAGTGTCACAAGGCTAGTTCACATGCAGAGGCATATATGTAACACAAACATCACAGTGATCTCTACCTAGCAAAGCAAGCATGCACGTATATATATATATAGATCACAGTACAAGCAAAGCCTACACCAAGTGAGGCGTGTGGGCACAAGCCCTAGCATAGTGCAGAAACGCTGATGATCAGCAAACTGAAGTGCCTTGGTGAATATATCAGCAGTGTTGGCCCGAGTGGCCACGTAACGCTGATGAAGCTGACCACATTGCTGCAACTCTCAAGCCAGGAAGTAACGCAGAGCGATGTGCTTTGTTCAATGCTCCAGTCTATGCTCCTCAGACAAGGCAATGGCAGCCTTGTTGTTGACGTACAGCACTCGAGGAGAATGAGGCCGCTCTCCCAAGTCGGTCAGCAGGTAGGTAAGCCAGCGTAACTCCTATGCAGCCATGGCTGTGGCGTAGATTTCAGCCTCACAACAGGAGCTGAAAACTGAAGACAAACGTGTAGAACGCCAAGAAACTGAACCAGAGCCAAGGCTGAAGGTGTAACCCTGTGACGTTCGCTGAGTAGAGTGGTCGTGAACCCAAGAAGCGTCTGAGTGCCTAGTGAGAACAATTGAGCTCCTCCCTCCAAGCACGAGCCCCATGCCTGATGTGCAGCACAAGTAGCATAGTATCCTCTTAGCAGCATCCATATGTACCTTTCGGTGCCGACCACGAGCCACGTAGCGAGCCA